ACGCTCATAAAACCGACTTACGAACAGCGTGCGCGCGTGCACACGTGTGCTTGCACGCGCTGGCTGCAGCTCAGGCCCCGCGCTTCGGTTGGTCGTGCGGTGGTGGCGGCAGGGCGACGACGTGCGGCTGTGGGGTGCCCGAGTTGGCCCACGTGCCGGGGGCCGCCGTGCACATGCCCTGGCTGCTTGGGGAGAGCTCGACGCCAGGAGCGGAGACGGGGAGGTACCCAGCGCCGCTCGTCGTGGCACCCGAGTGGAGCACGCACTGCGCACACGAACGGGTGAGCGGGAGGCGGTAACGTGGCACGAGCACGGTGGTGTGGTATTGCAATTGATCAATATTAGCGGTTTCCTTAATCAACGGAGCTGGGTGTGGAGGCGGTGCCACCTGTGAACCCCCAGTGCCTCTGAGGCAAGGATGAGTGGGTCAAGGATAAGTGGGTCAGGCAGATTTATTTCCAAACCTGATGTGTTATGAGGTGGCAGTACAGCACGTAGGTTTGTGAACCTGTCCGTGTGAATATTGGTGTTTTATGCCCCTGTACGCGTGGTGGGTTTTCTCCAGATGCCCTGGTTTCCTCCCACACTCAAAACGCTCATGCAAATGGGGGTTGCTTAAGTATTCCAATGCAGGATTGAAAAAAAGAGTCACGAGACCCCATGAGGTTTTCCTGGGTAAACAGGAGTGGTAATGATTATATTATTGGGATGATCGTGTGGACATCCAGTGAGTTCAAATGAGTTATCTCGGGAGCGGGTGCTGCCCACGTTACAACGTGTGTCAGGAAGACCCGCGTGAGAGAGGGCATGGCAGAAGAGCCGCGTGAGAGAGGTTATTTTCGTTTGCTGTGTTGCGACCATCGGCGCGCCGAGCGAAGAGCCGTTGTCACGGCCGACCATTCGCTTCTCCTCGTTGCCGCCAGGCACCCTCCCACACTGCTGCTGCCCTCCCCCCGGGACCTCTAAATTCAAGATTAGTGGAGCGGTGCCAGTCTCGGTGTAAACCCAAGAGGTTAAGATTAGTGTTCAGGATAGGGCTTGTTCGAAATCTGATGGGAAAGCAAGCTTTGAAAACAAACATGGAAAAGTCCCCCACATGCGGCAAGGTGGCCCGGTGACTCACGGTGCTGATCTTGCACCGCTGAGATCCTGCGTTCGTATCTGGAAAACCACCTGTGGTAACTTGAGAACCTGGTTAACCCCCCCCCACCCCATCGTAGTCAATATCCATTCCAGCCCTGACAATTCAAAACATCTGTTTGACTTTTATTCAAAAAACATTTCTCCCCTGTAGTTGCACTGGTTGACAAGTGCTGCCCCCTACTGTGTGGATAAGAGTTCACGTAAAGAGATTTCACAATTAGTTTGGTGATATCTCCTTCCACGGGCTGTTCTCTAGCATGGCGTGATGCATTCATTCTCGGTGCAAATGAATTGAGACTAAAGATATATTTTTTAAAGGAGACCTGGGATACAAAGGAATAAGGGCAACTGCACAATGGTGAAAGTTAAACACAGACGTCACACATTCATTAACAACACGACGCCTCGGGTAAGAAATTAACGGAAACTTTCACTGCAAGGATTTTTCATGCAACTGACCGCTGGTCTCTCTAGACACCAGCTAATGGCGTTGTTGTTCTCGTCCTGGTGACTCTATGTGGTGCTGTTGTCTGGTGCAAGGGCGGTGGTGGCGGTGGCCTGGCGGCAGCAAGGGGCAGCACCAGGGCGGCGCCTCTCGTGAGACGAAGACTCCGCCGCGGGGAGCGCGGAGTCGACTTCTACTTCTCTAATTTAAAAAAAACAGTTGTCCTAGGAGCAGCTGCGGTTCACTCGCCACTATTGCCCCTTGATAGCGAGAGCACCCAAAAATAGAATCAGTGTTGCAGGCCTGTCAGGTTTCCTATGGTGAATGTGTGGGATTTACCAATTGCTATGATTGGGGATACCAAGTGAAAATCTCACCTTTAAACTGTTACGGTAGCCCGGGGAATGGGAGGTGTGAGTGTGAGTTTTGCGCCGTTTTCGTGTGAATAGAATGGCCTTAACGCGTAACGTGCTTGTCATTTCGCAAGAAGTCACAAAACATCTCGTGCAAGACCTGATGATGCAGATCCCTAGCGTCGTCATTCCGCCAAGCTTATGGGCTACGACCCTTAAACCGCCATCCGCACTGTAACCATGGCGGTAGCAGATGCAAAAAAAAAACTGTCTGACAGCATGCGACTGTGGTCACCCAGAACAGACCACGGAACATATTGACGACTTACTGCCCGACTCACCATTACGAGGGAGGCGTCCTCACAGCGATGCGCCACTAAGATACGCCTGACGCAATTGTCTGACTCAACCACCTCAACCTAACCTTGTAGTTGTCGCTCTACATTGACATCAGCCTTACAGAGCAGAATTCGTGCCAGTAGTGTGCGTTTGTGCGCGATTTGTGTTCGCGTCTGCCGAAGCGGGTTGGCGGCGAGAAAAATGCACGAGACTCCGTGCGTGCGCATGTGAGCGTGTGAAGGGGTTTAAATGCGCGTCACATGCACTGTGCATGACACTTTTAAAATTTTCATACATCTTGACTTTCAAACTTTCGTGACTGCAGGAATTCATGTTCTTGGTTCTTGGTTCTTCCGGTAAAGTCACGTAGATAGAAAATAAAAATAATAAAATAAAATTAACATAATAAATTGAAAATAATAGAAGCAAAAAAAATTCACGACGTTTCGATCGCAACACAGGCGGCCTTCATCAGGAGATCTTCACCCGCCGGTCTTCATCTGCCTGATGAAGGCCGCTTGTGTTGCGATCGAAACGTCGTGGGTTCTTTTGCTTTTATTATTTTCTATTTATTATTATTTTTAAAAATTATATTGTATTATTTTTTATTTTCTATCTACGTGACTTTACCGAAAGCGCCAAGTATATATCTTTCCTCTTATTTACTTGCGTTCCAGTTAAGGTGGCGAGAAGGCTGAAATCGTAGAATAGAACTGACCGATTTGCAGTCATTGTTTCGACTAAAACAAACGCGAGCCACGAAAACTCCTTTTACTGCCTTGGATGTTACGTATTTTTTTTATTGCCTTGACATGTTCACGTAATAGACCACAGGTCTTAAAAGGTTTTTTTACGTAAGATTTTATACAAGCCGAGTTCTGAAAGGTCGACGCTTGAATATTTTGCGCCGGGCTGTGGCGTGTCGGCTGTGTTGCGAGTGCCTCCTTCAGCCACGGTGGGAATGGACCGCATGGCATAACGAGGGGGCGTCACGCTGGGAGCTTCCAGATTTGGGATTGATCTGAAAATGTCTGCGGGGACGTGACCTTTAATGCGTCAGGACCGATCAACGTGGAACTCGGCACGGCGAGAGAACGCCGACTACAAAGTGGCTTCACACAGTGGCTCACCAGCTCTGTAGACGAGGGGATTTCTACGATAGACTGCTGTAGTGATTTCTTACGTGTTAAATTTTGATTTAAAGCTTTCGTGACTGCAGTAATTCATATTCTTAGTTCTTTCGGTAAAGTTACGTTGAAGGGAAACAACAAAATAATATATATAAAACAATAAAAATTCTCACGACGTTTCGACCATAACACAAACGGTCGTCTTATTGTTTTATATATTTTATTAGTTTGTTGTTTCCCTTCAACGTGACTTTACCGAAAGAACTAAGTATATTCTTACGTGTTGTTTGCATAACTGTTGTGGCGATCGATTAAATAAAAATGGACCTGGCTGATGATCGATTGTGGCGGGAGTCACTTGTTGATGAGATGCGGTATGAAGTGAGTGCTTGGCTAGGCCTCGGCAAGGTGAAAGGTAAAAACAACGAGCCTACCTTTACCCTACCTTTTACCTTACCACACTACAATCACTCTACCCTTACCTCTTACCCTTTAGCAAGGTAAGGTAAAAGCTCAAAAGCAACGATCCTACCTTTACGCTTACCCCATACAAATTACCCGATTACAGGGTAATTACTGGGGTACTACTACACATGAAAAAGGTTTAGAACAGGTAAATGCTAGGTAGAGCGCTTCATTCATGTAGAACACTCTCGATTATTCTAATTTTAAATGGAGGCCACGGACTGCGCCATGGAGCTTTTAGCGAGCGGTGAACAAGGTGTTTACCGGGTAATACTTCTCGCTACCTTTACCCTACCCTTTACCTTACCCATTGGCATGTCGACACCGTTACCCTTTTACCCGGCAAAAAGGGTAAATTGCCTTACCCTTGCCGAGGCCCATGCTTGGCTCAGAAAAGGTGTCACTCTCCATTGATGAAGGGAACATATGGGCAGGGGAGAGACCACGTGTCACCACGTCTCGTTGCCAGTTGTGTAACTGACAAAAAAATGGTAATTGCTGAGTGTGAGCAGAGGTAAAAATGTGCACTTACATTGCGAATGATTGTTATTTGTCAATCCACTGCTGGATGAAGGACTCCCCACGCCTGTTGGGTCATGGGGACTGGTTAGTATGTGGCCAGCGACCTGGCCACAAATGATACCTCAACGAAGTGGCTTATCATGTGGAAATGCATAGAAGCCAAATACTCTAAACACATGTTTCTAAATGCAGAGAGAAAAACGGGGGGGCCTGATAGAAAATACACACGGCCACAAGGAGAGAATACAAGCACGAGGGCCGGGACCGAACCCACGACCTCATGCATACCAGGCGAGGTAGTTAACATCTCCCCACCATGGTACTCCCCAAAGCCACTGTGGCTTAATGCAATTGAACATTTCTCACGTGTGTGTGTGTTAGCCTCCCTTCTCGCTACCTTTACCCTACCCTTTACCTTACCCCTTGGCTGTGCCTGCGAAGGTAGGCACAGCTTTCTGTCACCCACTCCGTCACCACCATCCCGTTCAGGTGGCACCACGAGGCACACGCCAGATCCCGCCTGAGAGTCCCGGTTAATCAGCTTAGAGTTTTACCCTAATTCCTCACGCCACCATCTGCGTGTTTTTTCCCCTTGCGCGACGGACGTGGCAGGCGAGTGTCGTCATTGCGCTGGTGGCGACCCGTGGACAATCTGCGAGCGAATTTACGATAGGGTGTAAAATAAAATTAAAACTGTTGTTGTTTTGGGTGGCTGCGGCGTCACCGATCACATGGAGTCCGTGCCCAAGGGCGGCTGCCATGGAAGATGGGAAAGGTTGGCTGCGTTCTGTCCTCGCCATGGAGGTAAGGAGCGATGGGGCTTATTTTGTCTGTTGTGTTCTCTTTAATCTGAGCTCTGCCTACCCAACCAGCTGCCATGCAAACAAGCCAATTGTTTCAAATGTAATTTGAAATAAATGGTGACTTAAACAACTGTTTGTTTTATATGTACCCAGAGAGCACTGGGTTGGCTGTACATATATAATAATGTATTATTACATTTGTAGATCGCTTTTTTAATGTTATATAACGTGACTATAGAATGGTTTTAATGAACTTGATATTTATTGATGTGAAGCTTTCGTGACTGCAGGAATTACTTTTTAGTTCTTCCTCTGTGTGTCTATGTTGTGTGTCTCTCTCTCTGTGTCTCTGTGTTGTTTCTCTCTGCTTGTGTGTCTCTCTGTGTGTCTCCGTGTCTGTGTTTTGTCTCTCTCTCAAATTTAGCAATCTTTGGATGAACGTAATCAACCGGGTAAGGTGTTGACTGTTGTGTTAGCCGACTCTCTGTGTTGTATTGCATTGTATTTCTAAGTTCACCTGAAGTTAACCTGAAGACGGAAGCTTGTGTTGCCTCCGAAACGTCGTGATTTAATTGTTTTATTTTCTTTTATTTTACCTACGTGACTTTACCGAATAAAACCAAAGAGTTTGAATCCTTGTAGTCACGAAAGCTTCAAATCTAGATTTCGCTAGGTTTGTTTTCTACCTGACGACGATTGCTTGTGTTGCAATCGAAACGTCGTATTATATTACTTAATTGATTTTCTTTCTACGCAACTTGGTTATCATTAAATACAAGTTGTTCAGTGATCGACTTGAAAAGCTGATAAACTGACTGTTGTTAACCTAAATAAAATCACCGTGTTATTTGCATGCTTTTATTTTTTTTAAACATTGCATACTCATTCAAGAATGTTTTCCCGACACATCCAGAACAACGCCGAACGTTCATGAAATGGTTTGGTCATCTCATTTCCTCGACAAAGCACGGTTTGTGCATTGTAAATGTTTGCATTCGCATACCTGTAATATGAGTGTGTCCTGTCTTTACAGCTTGAAGGGAAATTGCCATGGGCTGCACACCATCTCACGCGGACGTGCTGCCCTTACCTGGCCGCTTGGGCCTCACCTGCTCAGATGAGGCCCGCGATGGAACCGCCAGCGAGCGAGGCTCGCGGTCCGACGGGGTGACGACGTCGAGCGGCCGCCGCGGCGACGATGGGGAACACACGGCGGACGATTCGGACGCGGACGACGGCCACGTCGGCTGCTACGTCCCGAGAGAAAAGGACATCATGCACGTCTGCGTGGAGGAGAGGCTGAGGGAGAGGATCGTCAATAGCGCCTCGCTCGTGATGTCCGAGGTAATCGCGGGACAGCCGGCATTCGCCGAAGATTTGATCGCGAAAATAAAGGCGTCGAGCAAAGTGGACGACTTCGAGTGTCACTGCCCAGCCGTGCCTGAAAATGGCGGTGAGACACGGGAAGACGGTAATCCGGAGCGGGAGCGGCATCCGAGCGAGGCGGATGGGCAGGAAGAGCGGAGCAAGATCGACTTTCCTGATGGAATGGTGGAGGCTCACAAGGCCGTCTACGAGTATCTGAACCACACGCTGCACGACTACGACGACATGATGAAGTCTGCCGACCAAATAGTGGAGACTCAGCAGAGCTTGCAGCAAATGATCAGCTTCCTGTTTTTCAAGTGCGAAGAGATCAACAGCACGATGCAGAGCGCCACGCTCACCGGTGAAGCGCTGCTGAAGAGTTTGAAATTCGGTCTTTCGACGCAGTGCAGCGACAAGATGGAAGGGCTTGACCTACCGCAGCAGGTGCTGCGCTACTCGGTAAACAAGCTACAGGGCATCACCGACAGCACCAACAGCACCACATCGGGGACCCTCAACTTGATCGTCGGCTACATGAAGTCGGCGCACGAGAAACTCCAGGAGAAGCTGATCGCCAAGATGCGGTTGGACGCGAGCGTGGCGGCTGTGATGGCGCAGCTCGCCCTGCATGCGATGGGAGCCGCCCCGTCACCCAGCGCGGAGGAGAGAGCCGCAGCCCTCTCGGAGGACAGCGGCATCGCCGCCGACAGCGAGTCGCTGAGCGAGTTGAGCACCGACTCGCCTGGCAGCAAGCACGCGTGCGCTCGCAGGAATGGCCGGCGCTCCGAGTCGCGGCCGCCCAGCAAGGGACACGCATTTGCGTACGACGCGGTGTGCCAGCTGGAGGGCACGGAGCCACCGGGCAACAGGTCCATGTCCCACCACTGCGCGCTTGAGAAGCAGTTCAAGGACGTCTTTTACCCCCCGCAGATTTCCATGTTTGCCGAGTCGAGGGACACCGAGAGTGCGGTGGTGGGACACACCGCGATTGCACCGCTCGACCGTGGCACGGCGGAGCAGGGCAGGACCTCGTTCTTGCGTTCTCTGGACGCACTCGCAGATGAAATCGTGGACGAGGCGCACGTCGAGGTCGGCGTTCTGGATGCGATGTGGGACAGAAAACCTGAAAACGAGCGGCAAATTGATTTTGCGAAGCAGCACGTAATGCAAATCGTGGGCAACTCGAGCGAGATGGATGAGCTGGTACTGAAGCTGAAGGAGGCCATCAGCAGTCGCATTCTGTTTATGTCGCCAGGTCCCCCAGACCCGGAATGGTCAGAGGAGGAGGGGAAACTGCAGTCGGGAAAACGGCCCAAAACGGCACAAGCCAGTCCATCAAAGGGCACGAACAGGAGGCGCTCGCGGTCAGCCGACTCGCTCGCCAACCAGGAGGAGGACGTGACGCTCCGAGAGCTTCACCGCGTGCAGAAGAGCATCGCCAAGTGCCTGGAGACCACGTTCCAGACGGCGAAGCAGAGTGTCCTCATGGACAAGCAGAGAAGGCCGAAGATATCCAGTGCCGCGCAAGGCTCCCAGCCGAGGAGCAGCAGGATCAAGACGTCCCTCGATAAGGGCTTCAGCGTGCTGCCAAATCACGGCGTGCTTAAAGGGAACAAGAACGAGCCGCCAAAGAGCAACAAGATTTCCTCTCTAAAAAAATCTGGTCCTTTAAAAGCCATAATTCCTCACGCCGAGCCATCTCTGCCAGAGGAAAACAATGAGCCCCATATACCACTGAGCAGGGTTGTGCCAGTTATCACACCTAAAACCAATTCAAGCAGGAACCCTTCCATGCCTAGCTACAGCAGCACAAGTTGCATACCATTCAAGCCTAAGCTTTTTAACGCTGTGGGAGTTCTTCCTCCCCTGCCCACACGATACCGGTTGCTCAAACCTGTAGTTTGCCCCGACAGCCTCATGAATATTGACGATGGGCTCATTCCGCCTTCCCAACATTCCAACGAAAAGAAGCGGGGAGATAGCAGCTACATGGACATAAGTGCCGATTCAAAACCTCCAAAAGGCAACCCACCGCTCAGAGACAGGCAGGACAGCGTGTCTCAAGCCAGGCCTCCCAGCCCCCCATCTCATCACAAAAATCAAGGTCCTGCTAAATGGAGAAAGAGTCATATAGTTAACCCAGATGGACAGTCAAGTCCACCTACAGCCAGGCAGGCCAGCCCACCGCCCCACTGTAGACAACCCAGTCCACCTACACAACATAAAGATTCAAGTACAAAGTCTCAGACAGGACGGGAAAGCCTGGCACAACATGCCGCACAGGCCAACCTACCTAGAACGAGACAGCCAAGTCCACCTCGAACCAGACACCCCAGCCCACCTAGAACCACACAGGCTAGTCCACCTAGTTCCAGACAGCCAAGTCCGCCTAGAAGCAGACACCCCAGCCCACCTAGAACCACACAGGCTAGCCCACCTCGTATTAGACAAGCAAGCCCACCTAGAACCAGATACCCCAGCCCACCTAGAACCACACAGACTAACCCACCTAGTACAAGAGAGCACAGCCCACCATGTACCAAGCGGGCCACCCCACCTGGGACTGGACAGCCAAGCCCACCACCTCAATGCAGGGGTGCTAGCCCACCGTCACAGTGGAGGCGTGTAACATTCCCTTGCCCTGACAAACAGTCAAGTCCACCTCTGACTGAACAGGCCAGTCCACCGATAATCAGACAACCGAGTCCACCATCTCAACGAAGGAATGCAAGCCCACCCCGACAGTGGAGACAAGTCCACCTGCCCTCCACGGAGGAACAGGCGAGTCCACCTCTTCTGAGTAACAGGCACTTCAAACCACTGTCGCACGATGGCCAGCTCAGTCCACCACCCAGGGGCGCATGCCCCAGCACTCCACCTTGGGCGACGGAGCCAAGCCAGCACCTGCAGCGCAGGCAGGCCTTTCGGAGGTTGCCCAGTCCGCCTCTACAGCCCGGCCATTCCACTCCGTGTCCTCTCCCCAGCCCACCCGGAGAACAGCGCAAGCTGCCCAGCCCCCCACTCGGGCAACGGAAGCTGCCCAGCCCCCCACTCGGCCAACGGAAGCTGCCCAGCCCACCACCCCATGGCAGGCAGCTGAGCCCGTGCCGGCTCAGGCAGCTTTCACCGGCGATCCAAGAAAAAATGGGGACATTTTTGATTAACGAGCCTGCGGTGGCAGTCCCGAGAAGTTTAGCGGATGAAGCAACTTCTGAGTGCAGGCAGTCCCCCAAAACAAACGCTGGTTCTATCTTTTGCAGTGCGCCCAGCTCCATGTTCAAAGCGAAAAATATGACGGATGACCAGAGCCTGTATAACAATGCCAGCTCACAATATCAAACGGATCAGCATCAACAACAGCTGGCGCATGCACTATGCAAAAGTGCCAGGAGTGCAGCGGCCAGGGCGTCCAAGGAGGAGTGTGAAGACGACTCGTCTGGTCTCTCGGGAAAATACGAGTACGTGTCTGGCTACGCTTGACCCATTAGCGGCCATGCGGATTTTAACAGAAATCGTTGCAATTTGGTTTCATGCCAAATTGGCAGACTGGGAATGTACCTCCTGCTCATCCTACACAGCACACATGCTGTGAACATGGGCATTAGGAGAGATTACATAATTTAATATGGAAATGCAGAAGTTGGGGGTGCATGTAATAGCATATTCTGCAGCAACTTCATGTTCAAGCTTAAGACTCTATACGTCACTACGTAGTTCCATTTTTACGTTTGAATATGCAATACACATATAAACAGTTTTTTTTTATGATTGCTGGACACAGGTCAAACGGGGATATTTAGCGTAAACCAGCCAGCAGCTAAGACACCGTTGCTCGTGTAATGACCGTAGAGTCAACCTACGGTGTGAGTGGACTAGTGGCCACGGGAGGTAATGACAGGGGAGTCAGGCTGCAGTCTGCATGGACTAGTGGCCACGGGAGGTAATGACAGGGGAGTCAGCCTGCAGTGTGATTGGACTGGTGGCCACTGCAGGTAATGGCAGGGGAGTGAGGGGACTGGTGGCTACGGGAATGATTGAGAATAGGAGCATGGCCAGGTGACGGAAGAGGACAATGGAGTCTGCTCGGAGAGTGAGCAGTCTAGAACCAGTGAGAAGGTTTGGGAATGGGGGCGGGGGCGTGGCCTTGGATCATATTTAAGGGAGATGCGCGGGAGACTCGGGGCTTTGCAGTGGGGGGTCTCCGCCTGCTCGAATGCGAGCACGTGGCTCCTTAAATAAATAAACCATATCAAGACAAGTGCGTCCAATTCGTCTTTGCACAGGTATAGCAGATAATAACCCAAGACGCGTCTTTATTCGAGTCAAGGTTAAAGGAAATTGGGGGTGCAGAGACGATTTGGAGGGAGTTCTAATGTTGAGCAATGTGAGGAAAGAGGGACGAAGAGAAGCATTTTTCTGAAACGTTTTGTATTGTTCACAACACATCAACAGGCACACGTTTTTTTTGTTTAGATCCCAATTTTAAGAAATCAACCCAATTCCTAAAAATCTGATGCCGCTCTTCGACTGTCACATGGTGTTTCCGTAAAAATAGGTCTCCTTTAAAATAACATCTATTTATTTAAATCAATTGCTTATGTTTATGCTGGCTTCTTCTTTCTTTGCACTGTGTACATACCATAGTTGTTAGTGCTTTAATGGATAACCACCTCGCTTAACAGGTGTTATAGGCTGTGGAGCTACTTTGTGTACAGCAAATCCACTGTTGTACTATCATTTTACATACCTACGTCTATGCTCCCACCCGCAATCACCACCATGGTGAAGTATGAGAATATAACCCCCACGACCCGCACGGCACAGAAATGCCCTCATACAGCAGTGGATTGACCAAAGGCTGTACGTGTACTCTCCTAAGCTTTACTATGCAGGTTTTCACCATCAAGCTGCACAGCTCTGTGATGAGTACTGTATTCTGGTCGTACCGTGTGTTGTACTGCCTGTTGCTTGGCATGATGTCCGATGTTTCACTCCATGTGCCGAAAAAGGTCGCAGCACGCGGACTGAAACGTCAGACGTCAGACAACGTTGCAGGACAAACCCCCAAAAACACACGAAGGCGATATTCTTACGCGTTCGTTGTAAATGCTATCTTGGTGACCTACTGACCCCGCTTTTGTCATAACAGCTCCGCAGACGACGGTGGCCGTGCGGATGCCGGGTTGGAGTGCAGCTGCGTGGCCCAGGGTAACGGTGACCCGAGGAAGCTGGACGTGGGCCCCGACTTCCTCGTGCAGGGACGAGGCATCTGCTCCCTGGGTCCCACGGAGGAGAACTAAGCAAAGCGAGGGCCTTCGCGCATATCTCCCGGTCATGAACGTCACGGGGGCAGCGCCGCCCTCGACCACTTAACAACTAGATGTTATTTTCTGAAGTCGCGGGAAGGTACACCGGGTAGAATGGCACAACCGATAGGTGTGTAGTAAATATGAAGAGTACTGCACTACGATCCTAGTTTGGGTTAGGGAAGTTCTTAACATTTTTGGTATGGCAGTCCACGCAGAAGGATTCTTGAGTCTTTCATCTTCATGCGTGGAACTTTTGAGTGGTATTCCCTCGAAAATGCGAGATTTTATGAGTAATCAGTTTTTATTCCAAATGTCAAGCACTTATTCGTGGAATTGGTGAAACAATTAAATGCAGGATCCTCTTGAAAAACAGTACCGTCTTGCGACTCAGTGACGCTTTTCTGCTCAACAGCATTGATATACTATTATCACCATCATTATCACTATCCAGCTTATCATAAAATTTCCAAGCCAGTCCCAGACTTGAGGATATAATTCATAAACATTTCCGGAATAAGTATTTTTAAGTTGTTCTTCACAGATGCCTCCGTACCAAAAAAAATGCTACTCGTGCCCACGACCCACTATCAAAAGTGGCTAAGCTCTTCTGATTACAACATCTTATCCCGACCAGCGATGGGGGAGAGAGCGATGGTCACAAGATCAACCGTTCCTGTCGTCTCCCCCTTAGATCTCCCGCACCTTAATACACGTTTCACGATCACCGGCGAAACGTCGTACTCAATTGTAAATCTTGACTTAAAGCTTTCATGACTGCAGGAATTAATACTCTTTGGGTCTTTCGGTAAAGTCACGGAGATAGAAAAATAATAAAAAATGATAGAAAAATTATAAAATAATAAAGCAATAATCGAAACTAAAAAAATATTACATTAATTTTATTATTATTTTTCTATCTACGTGACTTGACCGAAATACCTTAAGTGTATCAATTGTAAATGTTGTGGCTTTGTTCTCCAACACACAACCGGTGTGCTGAAATAATAAGTGGCACGTTCTGGTCATGTGACAAACTCACTAAATGGCTGTGTCTGGTGCAGGTGGGTGTACAACACATTCACGTGATCTAACCCAAACGACTTTAATCATGAATATTGGTCACGAAAGCCTCCGTATTGATTTTATGGTGTATCTTATTTGTATTTGCTGTGTTTTTTAAAAATATCAGCATGCATCTATTCATGCTTTGAATACTTTTTTAATTGGGTCTTTATCAGAGTTCACACGCATTATGTAACTCTTCATAAGTTAGCACGTGAATAGACACGAGTGATACCGAATGATCGACTGTCAGGTCCACACCTGCTCATGTAACGCGTATGAATGTCTCTTTCTCATTATTTAACCTGCATGTAGTGCTTTTAATTAGCACAGATGTCAGCCATGAGCTTTGTGAAGTGGCAGTATAAACATTGGCAGAATATTAAAACGATTTGAAGAGTTTTAGTTTTTTACCTGTTCGGCAAATCCTGAACCATCTGATTTCAAAAAAAAAAGTATTCGAAATGTCGTTGCAATATTTAGGGTATTGCCAAAAAGGCTTGCCATTGTCTTTCGATAATAGGATTATGAATTTGGAAATGCTACAAATTTTGTGTGAATGACAAACGTGGCCTCTGTTCTCGTCACATTGCAGGGTGGGAGCTACATTTGTAATGCTTTATGTTTGAATGTACGTTATTGTAATCCAAAGTATTTAACACGAACTGTTGTTTGTGGTGTGACTTATTGGAGAAATGTCGTTTTTGGTGAAGCATTGCATGCAAGGGAAGAGAAGAGTTGGTAAGGTGGGGAGTACAGCATATGAGCAGTGGCATTGCGTGTCTATTCTCCCACCAGGTCCACTCAACCTGAAACGGTGAACTCAAAAGTGAATTTCTTATCGATTATTTACGATGTGTACAAATTGTATGAAAATAATTGCAGGCTAATGGCATAAAACAAGCCAATGAAAATATTCAGAATCAGAATAAGTGTTTATCCTGGAGGAATCCGATGAGCTATGAAGCTCTTTTCCACATATGTCCAGTAGTAGCAGGTCAGCAAGTTACGTTGCTTAAATTGATCGATGACTTTAACCATTACCTCCGAAGCGAGAAATCGTTATACAGAACCCGTATCCATCTTTCGTACGACGTGTTGCAGAGATAAGCATTTATTTTTTTGGAAAAGCTACAAACGATTTAGAATAATTGATGTCTGGGTTCTTCAGCCATTCAGCAGCACTGGCTTGTGAGATAGTGTTGATTGGCAGCAGTTAAACTATACAAACAAAAATTTAACTATTTTTTTTTACCAGGTAAGGGCCACTGAGCTATATAGCTCTTTTTTTCAGAAGCGACCTGGCCACAAATGATAGCTCAACGAAGTGGCTTATCGTGTGGAAATTCAAAGCAGCCAAATTCTCTAAACGTACGTTTCTAAATGTGGAGGGAAAAACCGGAGGACCCGGAGAAAAATCCACGCGACTAAGGCGAGAGAAAGATAACATGAACACTCCAAATACAGGTAGTCCCCGATTTACGATGGTCCGACTTACGATATTTCGATCTTACAATAGCGATATGACAAAATTGTAAAATATATTTTTATTTCGCGCGGCAGGCAAACGCAGCAGCGTACGAGGTACGATACTGTAACTTTATCATCGCCATCCTCTTCCGACAACTAAGTTAATGTAGCCATCAACAACCAAACATCGTTCAAGTATGCAGACGACGGACAGAATCTTTGTGAGTACAGTAGAATATATGTTACGATACGTTCAATGCATGTATGATACGGAGCTTTAGCGATTTCATTTCAGGGTTACGATACGATACATATGTTCAATGCATGTTAAACGTTTTCATAGCAGATAGGATTGTTTCCTGAAAAAAAACTTTCTATGAAATTGCAGTTCATACAGGTAGGCTAAAATTTCACCTTGTTTTTTACTTTAAATTTTACTGTGCAATACAGGATTGTAATTAATAACTACACACAGTATAGAGTTTATACAGTACGGTACTGTAAATTGCTCTGTTTTGCTAAATTATCACCATTCTTTAAGACTCCTGGGTAGGCTAGGCCACCTTCGACTTAGAATAATTTCGACTTACGATATTTTCGAATTACGATGGGGTCGTCGTAACGCATCTCCATCGTAAGTCGGGGACTATCCTGTATCGTAAGTCGGGGACCGCCTGTATACAGCAGGCGTCAGGGTCAAGATCGACCCTGACGCCTCCTGTATACCAGGCGAGGGAATTAACATCTCGCCACCGCGGTACAAAATACAAACCGCGAAAGTTATATTTAGATGATGTCTACACACATGTCATTGCGTGTTTGCTAAGTATCTGTGAACAGACACTCAATGGATTACTGAGGTCAATTGTATTTTACAGTCGTTGTAAAAGTGCTCCACCGTTTTAACACTCCTCCAACGGGTGGCCCTCCTCTTCTGGAATATTTCTCCTACTTCATAGAAGTAATCTTCAAGGAGAGGAAAGTCGACTTCCTTTCTTGGAAGGGCATCCTCCCCGCTTCTAAGATCCCCCCGTATTACAGCCTTAACAGACTGTTGGGTCAAGTTGTGTTAGCGAGCACCTATGAAGGCCGGCACGGCACACGACGGGGTGGGTGGTCAGCACCACGCCCGGCCGCCTTTGTCTCCCGCAGTGGCGATGTTTACTACACACCGCACCGGGTACTCATTTAAGGCTGAGCGGACCTAGGGGAGGCTCAGGACCGGTTCAGATAATCGTCACTGGGTGTTAGTGGCCGTGAGCGGGAATCGAACTCAGATCGCCGGGATCGGAACGCAGCGTAGCGCTAACCGCTACACTACCGGGGCCCACACACAACACACACCACCACACAACACACACAACACCACCACACACACAACACCACACACACACACCACCACACAACACACACCACCACACAACAACACACACCACCACACAACACACAAAACACCACCACACACACAACACCACACACACCACCACCACCACACAACACACACCACCACACAACACACACAACACCACCACCACACACAGCACCACCACACACAACACCACACAACACACACCACCACACACAACACACACCACCACACACAACACACACCACCACAACACCTACCACCACCGCACAACACCTACCACCACACACAACACCACACACACAACACCACCACCACACACAACACCACACACACACACCACCACACACACCACCACCACCACACACAACACCACCACACACAACACACACCACCACCACAACACCACCACCACACAACACCTACCACCACACACAACACCACACACACAACACCACCACCACACACACACCACCACCACACACACAACACCACCACACAACACACACAACACCACCACCACACACACCACCACCGCCACACACACCACAACACACAACACCAGACACAACACCACCACCACACAACACCAGACACAACACCACCACCACACAACACCACCACCACCACACAACACCACCACCACACAACACCAGACAACACCACCACTACACAACACCAGACACAACACCACCATCACACAACACCAGACAACACCACCACCACAACACCAGACACAACACCACCACCACACAACACCAGACACAACACCACCACCACAATACCAGACACAACACCACCACCACACACAACACCACTGCCACACACACCACAACACACAACACCAGACACAACACCACCACCACACAACACCACCACCACACAACACCACCACCACCACACAACACCACCACCACACAACACCACCACACAACACCAGACACACCACCACCACAATACCAGACACACCACCACCACACCAGACACAACACCACCACACAACACCACCACACAACACCAACACACAAACACAACGCGATATCACCGCCGCCGCCTCCCACGACACAGCAGGGTCGCCACGGCGTTGCCTGGCACCCGTCGCCGCTTCCGCCGCGCGTGACGTCACTTCCCGCGAGCACGCGCGCGGGAAAAGGCGTCACGCGAAGACGCCCCGCCCCTTGCCCCGCCTCTCGCCCCGCCCCTCGCCTCTCGCCCCCGCCCACCTTGGCGATCGCGTGGCCGCCATCTCGGCGCCGCCGCGGGGTTTTAATCTGCGCGGACGCTTCGGGGGCTAAAGGGGGAAGGGAGAGGGGAGGGTGGGGAGGTCAAACTAAAAAAAAACGCCGCTCCCTTCTCCTCGCTA